AGACAAAAAGTGAGAATCAACCCTCAGGAGGAATGGCCACACTGCCATCCCTTCTCCTCCATTTTCCCCTTGGGATCTTGGGCACACATGCACATGCGCCCGGCGTGAGTTTAAGCCACTGGGTCCAGGACTCTAACCGCGGTTGACTACATGGGAGTCCAGCGACATAGCCATTATGCTAACTGCTGGTCCCTATATATGGTATTGTTTAAATCATGTATCTCTCTGCTCATTATTTTATCTAGAGCATCTTTCTGAAGGAGACAATGGGGTGTTGAGATCCCCAACAATTAGTGTGTTAAAATATATCTCTCCTATTAGATCTATCAGTCTTTCCTTTACACATTTGGGTGCTCCTGAGTTGGGTGCATAGATATTTATAAGTGTTATACCTTCTTGATGAATTAGCCCTTTTATTACTATGTAATACCCTTTTATCCCTTTTCTTTTAGTTTTTGTCTTAAAGTCCATTTTGTTTGAGATCAGCATCAAAACTCCAGCCCTTTTTTGGTTTCTGGTTGCATGGAATACCTTTTTCCAGTCCTTCACTTTTAGTCTATGTTTGTCATTATCCATGAGGGAGTGTTTCTTGTAGGCAGCAGATAGGGGGTTTCTGGTTTTTGTTTTGTTTTTACATTCAGTCAGTCTGTCTCTTGATTAGGGAATTTAGTACATTAATATTCAATGCTATTGTTATCAATGTTTCCAGACTTGTTCATACCATTAAGTTGTCCACTTTCTTGTTCCTTTTGTTCTTTCTTTCTTTTTCTTTTATTTCTGTGTGTCTGTCTTTAGTTTTCCTGGTAAAGCACTCCCTTCAGAACTTCTTGAAGAGCTGGTCTGCTGTTGGTAAATTATTTCAGGTTTTGTTTATTTGAGAATATTTTTATCTTTTCTTCCCATTTGAAGGACTTAGTATAGTAATCTTGGTTGAACTGTTTTTCCTTTAAGAGTTTGAGTATATTTTCCCATTCTTTCCTTGCTTCAATTGTTTCCAGAGAGAGATCCAAAAGTAGCCTGAAGGGGTAACCTTTGTAGGTAACTTGATACTTCTCTTTTGCCAATTTTGGTATCTTGTCTTTATCTGTGGTTTTGGTCATCTTGGCTATGATGTGTCTTGGAGAAGATCTCCTTGGGTTGTTTCTACTTGGGGTTCTTTGTATTTCTTGGTTCTGGATATTTTAATGCTTCTCTAGGTTTAGAAAGTTTTCTTCCTGGACTCATGGAGTAGATTTTCCATGCCCTTATTAGTTTCTTCACCTTCTGGCATAGCAATTATCTGATATTTGGGTGTTTAATTGTATCTAGTATTTCTAGTATTTGTCATATATTATTCTCATTTTGGGGGAATCTTTTAGCTGACTTTTTTCTAGGTCAGAGGTTTTGTCTTGCACATCCTAAATTTGATCTTCTATATGATATAATCGCTTTACAAACCTGTGGGCCAGACAGTGGGTCAGTGGTAAAATGGGATATTCTGCAAAAGACAGGAAATCAAAACCAGAAAATTCTTAAAAGTAAGGAAACTTAAAAAAAAAAAGGCTTTATAAGATTGCTGGTTGAATTTTTAACAGAAACAAAGAAGGCTATATGCAAAATTTATAACCAGTAAAAATAGGACACACTGAAAATGAGAAAACTTGAATGGTTCTATGCTAAGGAAATACTAAAGTGATTTTCTGGAAGAATATTCCTTCCAGATGGTATATCAGCTACGTAGGAACAAGTGAAGGAACATATGCTACTGAAAATGTTTGAGTAGATCTAGATGATGACTGGATAAAGCAATAATAATGCTGATTGCTTGTGGAATTTAAAATACAAACGAGACTTAAATGCACAACTGCACTGGCTTGTGTGCTGAGAAAAGAGTAAGAGGGGGACCAGCAAATGGCGTAATGATTAGGTTGCTGGACTCTCACGTGGCTGACCGTGGTTCAAGTCCTGGACTCGGTGACTTGAAACTCACGCTGGGAGCATGTGAATGCGTCCCAAAAATCCCGAGAAGAGAATGGAGGAGAGGGGATTGTGGCGTGGCCATTCCCCCTTGGTGATGATTTCTCAATTTCTATCTGTCTGTCTCTCCAGTGAGCACAAGCACCCTATAGCAAAGATCTCCCTAACAAACAAAACAAACAAACAAACAAAAAAAAAAGGAAATGGAACTGCATCCAGAGACTTTGCATCATCTGAGAAAAGGGTAATAATATCAATAGTGTCAGTCCAAGGATATATTAGGTTGTCAAGAAAGTCATGAAGTAGTTTTCTGTGTTTTTCTATGTAAAAATGCATTATGACTTTTCTGGCAACCCAATATATTTTAATGTTTAGGGTAATGATAAAAGAATAATTATTTTTACATCCAAGGTTACATTTTTTAAAAATAATTAAAATGTGGGCAAGAGGGAATCGGAAAGAAGGAATTGAAAAAAGAAAAGACAGGTAGGAATAGACAGATATAAAATTGGTGTAACTTTTAGAAAGAAAATACATAAGAAATAGAAAACAGACACGATTTCTTTAAGTTCACATATGTCACTACTTACAAAATGTGCTAAATGCTACTAATAAAAAGATTGTCATACCAAATTTTTATTTTTATTTTTTATTTTTTGGGGGAGAGGTTTTTGCTATAGGGTGCATGTGCTCACCAGAAAGACAGAGAGAGACAGAAAGCGAGAAGTCGCCCCCTGAAAGGATGACCATGCCACAATCCCTTCTCCTCCATTCCCCTCTTGGGATCTTGGACACGCACGCACACACATCTGGCATGAGCCACTGGGTCCAAGACTCGAGCCATAGTCGACTACATGGAAGTCCAGCGACATAGCCATTATGCCACTGCTGGTCCCAATACTAGATTTTTAGAAAGGTTCCTCTTTGCTGTTTACAAGATGCTTAAAGATAAAAAAACAGGAAATGTTATACAGCATAAATACCAACCAAATTAGTACTGGTATAATTATACTAATATCAAGGTGGATCTTAAGGCAAAAAAGCATTATTGCAGTAAACAGTCTTCATAATGATAAAAGTTCAATTTTTAACTTGTAGGTACATAACATGGCCTTAACACACACATGTACATGCACACGCACACATGGAGGGGGGAAAGGAAAGAGAGGGAGAGAACAAATTCAGAATTACAGCAAGAAATGGATACATCCATTATAATGAAAATTGTTGACACAGTTTTTACAGTGACTGATGGAAGAAGCAACGATTACTCTCTGATCGCTAACAGACCATGTTTAATGAGTAACCTGATGTTGATATAGGAGCCTTGTACCCAGCCACTACTGCTTGTATGTACTTTCCAAGCACAATGAAATATTTGTAAAGGGGATCACATATCAGGCCGTAAACATATGCACAAAATGCAAATTTACAACTACATGCATAAAGTTTGAACAATAAAATCTGGACTTCAGAGATCAATACATAAGTGATAAAATATAAAGTATAAAATAGGAGAGGGGTGTGTGGGAGGCTTCTTGGGTTCTGGCAATACACTGTTTTCTTGATGGGGTGAAAGTATTATAGCTATTTTCTTTCTTATAATTCATTAACTTTACATTTATTGATATATTCTATACTTTTTACTTTATGTGTGTTATATGTCTTAATACTCTTTTTTTAAAATACTACCTAGAATCCCATGAAAGTTACTGAGCACAAGGAAAAGTAACTAAAAATATAGATATACTCAATCAAATTTATGAGTGTTGTAGAAGCAGGATAAGGGGAAGGAAGGGAAAAGAGCAAAAGATTATGTTTGGTGAAGGAGAAATAGCCTTGCATTTGGAATTAGAAAACTAGAGTGTGTGTCTCAGTTCTTCCTTTTATTAAAAAAATTTTAAAACTAATTACTTATTTAATTTTAATATTATTATTACTTAATTCGATGTGAAAGAGAGGAAGCAAGCCTCCAGGTTCAGGATTCAAACCATGGTTGGCCATGTGGGAGTCCAGCACTTTAGCCACCATGCCACCTGCCAGCTGCTCAATTTTTTCTTGAATATAAGTGTGATCCTGAGCAAGTTCTTCTTTTACCTGAACTTCACTGTTCACATCCATAGCATGGGGACAATAACATCTCTTCTTTTTCCTTGGAGGATTATTGTGAAGATATAGAGGAAAGTATGCATACAATCCTTCATAATGTGTTATGTTCTTTGCTGATGTGACCAGAAAGAGGAGTGGTATTCATGTCCCTGATAATATGGAAAACATTTATCAAAAGCTGGTGACAGGGCCAACAGGTGGCGTGGAGGTTATGGCCCAGAAAGGCAGCTGAGTGGTTCAAATCCTGGTCCTGGCAACTTGAGAATCACACCAAGTGCGTGTGTGCCCAAAATCCTAAAATGAGACTGGAGGAGAAAGAATTAAGGCATGACCATCCTCCCTAGGGGGTGATTATCCACTTTCCCTCTCTCTCTCTCTGTCTGTCTCTCTCTAGCAAGCACATGCACCCTATAGCAAAAAACTGAAAATAAAGGAATAAATAAATATATAAGTAGCTGAAGACATTTGTTAGCATATGCAAATCCCTTTATGGTAGATACTGTGGAGGGCCACTTTGTTTCTCTTGATCTCTGTTCAGGGAGAGAGTGAAGTAGATTAACCTAGTTTGGGAGCTGGCTAGGTAGCACAGAGGTAATGCACTTAACAAGTAATTCTGGATCCCTATGGAATCCCTATGGATGGTTACGGGTTCAGTTCTTGAGTCAACCTGTACACACCAGATGCGTGTGCCTGCGATCCTAGCTGGCACGGAGAGCTGAGGGACCACAGTGAGAGGCCCCGTTAAGGGTGCTTGTCTATCGCTCACTCTCATGGAAGAAATAAAGTTAAACACAAACAGAAAACATTCCAGGGAACGTTTCTGGTAATCAGAAGATATTTAAGGCCCAAAGCAAAGTGCATTTGTGACCTGGGTGTTAACAAAGTTAGAGTTTTGCAGACTCTTCATGTAGTATTTATGAAGCTATTTTCCATAGGCTCCACCCTTATTGTGGACTGCAATATAACGGACACATGGGACAATACGAATCTCCGATGCTGGAAAGTCAACAACACCCTGGTGGACCGTTACTACAGGGAATCCAAACGAATCAGAGAAGGATTCGAGTAGGTATTTTGCTTTTCTGACTTTTTAAAAGCTAGCAAGAATTTCACCATTTATTTATTTAAAGAATTATTTAATTTAATTTAATTTATTGTCACTATTTTTATTTTTATTTATTTATTTTTTTTAGTGTTTTTTGAAGTTAACCGGAGAGAGATAGAGAGAGAAGAAAAGTGAGAAAGAAAGCAGCCAGGTCCGGGACTGGAACTGTGGTCAGCCATGTGGCTTAACTACCACGCCACCTGCTGGGCCTAAATTTCACCACCTAAATTAATTCGGTGTGGGGCTAGCAGGTGGCATGGTGATTAAGGTGCTGGATTCCCACATGACCAGCAGTGGTTTAAGTACCAAATCTGGCAGCTTGAGACTCATGCTGGGTGCTTGTGCATGCATGCCTGAAATCCCAGGAGGAGAATGGAGAAGGGATTGATCTGTGGCCATCCCCACTGGGGGGTGTTTCTCATGTTCCCCCTCACTCTCTCTATGTCCATACACCCTATAGCAAAAGCCTTAAAAGTTAATTTGGTGTTATTATTGCATTTTAAAGATGGTTTTTCAATGCCTTATCATCATTCTTTTAGGTTTTGTCTTTCAAAGATCTTCTCAGTACTGTGCACGGTGAAGCATCTGGTTCAAAGACCTGTGAGATGTTCATATTTCAATGTCCCTACCACCTGGTTAGGGAGATGTTGCAAACCTTGAAATTTGCCTCTGAGCAGTGAGATCCATTTCTCTCTCCTACTGCTTAAAAGCAGTTCCATCTCCACTCAGTTATGTCATAGACTATAGGCCATCAAGGCTTAAATACAAAAATAAGCACCAACCTAGCACCTCATAGGGGGATAGAGCATAATCTTCAGCTGATTGAGCAGTGTAGACTCAACTTTGGTGACCTAAATGGAATACTTTTAAACTCAGTGAGGCCAGGGAGCAGGAGAGTGCAGGTCCATGCAGTGTAGATAAATTAGGGTGCCTGGGGAGGGATGAGGGCCTTTAGGATTGGGGGTATAATGAACAGAGCCATATTTCTGTGTCACTGACCAGAAGGAGTCACAATTTACACACCCCCCTGGGCCACCCAATGAAATATTATTAGGGTAAAATAATGATCCTAAGTGTTCTTCAGAACAATGTTGATCTCCAGAATATATTGTAAAACATGATGGGTAACCATGACTCATGTATTAATGATTGACTCTTTTTATTTTTTAGAACTTGTGTTTCTTTTCCAGAACATAATTTGTACACAGTAAACATAACCTTCTTAGAAGTGAGGATGGAAGATTATGGTCTTCCTTTCACATGTCATGCTGGTGTTTCTGCAGCGTACATCATCTTAAAACTCCCAGGTAATGCTCCAGTGGTTACAGATTGTTCCGAATGATGGTCAGTTGGTGCATATGAGAGAGAAGTGACAGGGCCAGCTGTTTAGCATAGTGGCCAAGGGGGCTAGATTCCAGGGAGCAGAGAAGAACCTGCTGGTGGTGCTCCTCTCTTGCTTCCCAATAGATCCCAACACAAATGCAGCCTGCAGAGGTCAGAGAGTGTGACTCAGAGAATGTCTATCCCAGAGAAAATGGGGGTCAAGTGATTGTAGGAAGCATTAGAGATTCATGAGCCCTGAAATGGTTGCAACTTAAATCTGCCATTTGTTTAGTAAGCTAGACTGGAGATGGCCAGTAAAGATTTCTGTGCTAACACTGAGTAGTCGAAAGCACCGTGCTTAGAAGGGTTCCAAGGTCTAGCCCTGGCTCAGAGGAACTAACGTTGCTACCAGTTTACATCTGTCAATCATGCAGAAGGAGGGATGGTCCTTCACTCCCTTTGTTTTAGGTCAGTTAAGAAACTCATGCTGGGACCGGCAGATGGTGTAATAGTTACATTGCTGGATTCCCATGTGGTCGACTGCGGTTCGAGTCTCAGACCTGGTGGCTTAAAACCCACGCCAGAGATGTGTGTGTGCCAGCTCAAAATCTTGAGAGAATGGAGGAGATTGGATTGTGCCCATGGGGGGATTTCTATCTCTCTGCCTCTTTTTGTCTCTCCAGCAAGCATACATACCCTATAGCAAAAATCTCCCTCTTTTTTTTAAATAGGAGCTCATTAACTTCACCTGTGCTCTGTGAACACTCATCTTACATCTCATGTGCAGTGAGTTGTGCTCAACTTGCTTTGCTTGCCCTGAGCTTTTAGGAGCGTCACTTTCCCCAATCTAAGCCTCTTGTCAGATTACTTGGAGACAGAGTTATGTTTATAGCTTCACCATTGGACTGGATTATGTTGTTGAAGACCAGATTGTAATCGCACTTGGTTTGTCAGAAGCAGGGTCACTAGAATGCTGTGTAAATCAGAAAATCAGAAGCTGAATTTATTGGAGTCATTTGCTCTCACCTACCATCTTGGTTGAAAACTAGTTCTGGATTTAAATGTCAAATAAACCTTTAATAGGGCATCTGGTATATCAACAGTGAGCTAATCATTTATTTCTATTTTTAAGCCTCTACTCCTTTGAACGTACTTACTCTGTTTCCAATTTCATCTTTTTGCTCATGTACAGAGCACAGCATATCAACAGTCCTGAAGGCAATGAAGGATGAACCCAAGAACTTCTAGTCATCATTCCTGTATACTCACCAAGGAGGTTTTTTTTTTTTTTTTTTTTCATAGCCATTACACTAACCGCTGGTTCCCGACCAAGGAGGTTTTGAATCTCATGAATATCATGGGCATGACTTTGCAGTCATGACAACTTATAATACTAAGATCTCTAAGCTGTATATTGTGTCTTCCCAGACACAGGTCCTCGCAAAGAGAGGACTGTTATTGGTGGAAGGAATGGTGAGAGCTAGGTGAAAGCAAAGGGGAAAAGAAGATGAAAGTGGAGGGAGAGTCTATCTCAAGGTTAAAAGCTAGAGGTTCTAACCAAGAGTCAGGGTTGAACGGAGTACCCCGGATGCACTGAGGCTCAGTCAATGACTGGGGATTTTATTGGCAACAAATGTGTTTTTAGATACTGTGCTTCACTGGGCCACACATTTAAAGACATGCAACGGTGAAGTAGGGAAATCTTGCTGAGATGTTAATTACATGGTATGTCCCCAGGCAGGTCTTAATACACTCTTGAATGATTAATTTTAAAATGAAAGTGTTCTGGAGGTTCAGAAAAAAGACCTTTTTCTTCCTCCCCTCACTTTCCCTGCTCACCTCAACTTCAAAGTAAACGTACCCTTCTTAGAAATGAAGACAGAAGATTACGGTCGTCCTTTCACGTGTCATGTTGGTCTAGAAAGATGGGAGGATCAGGAAGTGGTGTGTGTGGTGGATTCTAGGGACAGGGAAGGTTTCTCTTCCTCTCTTCTCCTTCCTCTTCCTTCCTTGAGGCTCTCCTTGGCAGCACAGGTCTGAGCTGTGGTAAGGCAGCACGTGGTGCTGTTCTTCTTCCTGGACCTGTAGGAGCATGTTTCGAGGGACTTGGAGTTCCAGAGAAACCAGTTCTGCTCCGTGTGTATCTCCTGCCCACTTGTGCTCTTAACTACCATGCAGTGTGTTCACAGAGCAGAGTGTCAACGCCCTGGTGCAGCCTGTGTCTCTCAGATGAGCCCTGAGTCTGGACTCTGATGGCACAGAGGATGAGGGGGAGATCTGGGTCTCTGTCAGTCTCATGAAGCCAGAAGAGATGGCTGTTGGGGAGACAACTGAGGGCTCTTTAGATGTGACAAGTTTCCACGGCTCACTTTGAGTAATTAAGCTAACAGTCTTGTAATCAAGGTTGTGTGACAAACCACTTGGGGAATGTTCCACATTAATATACTTGGGCTCCACCTCCAGACAGTCTGGTGTTGTCTAAGCAGAGCCTGGACCTGTACATTTTGAAAGTAGTCCTTGGGACCAGCAGATGGTGTAACGGTTGTATTGCTGGACTCCCACATGTGGTCGATCGTGGTTCGAGTCCCGGACCTGGCAGCTTGAAACTCTTGCCAGGTACATTGTGTGTGTGTGTGAATGTGCGTGCGTCCCCCAGAGGGGAGTGGTGGTGAAGGGGTTGCGGTGAAAAAAAATTTTTTGGAGAGGTTTTCACTATAGGGCGTGTGCGCTCACCAGACAGACAGAGAGAGACAGAGAGACAGAAAGCGAGAAATCACCCCCCGGGGGAATGGTCACGCTGCAATCCCTTGTCCTCCATTCTCCTCTTGGGATCTTGCGTGCCCGGCGTGAGTTTTAAGTCACTGGGTCCGAGACGCGAACCGCAGTCGACTACATGGGAGTCCAGCGACATAGCCATTACACTAACCGCTGGTTCCCGACCAAGGAGGTTTTGAATCTCATGAATATCATGGGCATGACTTTGCAGTCATGACAACTTATAATACTAAGATCTCTAAGCTGTATATTGTGTCTTCCCAGACACAGGTCCTCGCAAAGAGAGGACTGTTATTGGTGGAAGGAATGGTGAGAGCTAGGTGAAAGCAAAGGGGAAAAGAAGATGAAAGTGGAGGGAGAGTCTATCTCAAGGTTAAAAGCTAGAGGTTCTAACCAAGAGTCAGGGTTGAACGGAGTACCCCGGATGCACTGAGGCTCAGTCAATGACTGGGGATTTTATTGGCAACAAATGTGTTTTTAGATACTGTGCTTCACTGGGCCACACATTTAAAGACATGCAACGGTGAAGTAGGGAAATCTTGCTGAGATGTTAATTACATGGTATGTCCCCAGGCAGGTCTTAATACACTCTTGAATGATTAATTTTAAAATGAAAGTGTTCTGGAGGTTCAGAAAAAAGACCTTTTTCTTCCTCCCCTCACTTTCCCTGCTCACCTCAACTTCAAAGTAAACGTACCCTTCTTAGAAATGAAGACAGAAGATTACGGTCGTCCTTTCACGTGTCATGTTGGTCTAGAAAGATGGGAGGATCAGGAAGTGGTGTGTGTGGTGGATTCTAGGGACAGGGAAGGTTTCTCTTCCTCTCTTCTCCTTCCTCTTCCTTCCTTGAGGCTCTCCTTGGCAGCACAGGTCTGAGCTGTGGTAAGGCAGCACGTGGTGCTGTTCTTCTTCCTGGACCTGTAGGAGCATGTTTCGAGGGACTTGGAGTTCCAGAGAAACCAGTTCTGCTCCGTGTGTATCTCCTGCCCACTTGTGCTCTTAACTACCATGCAGTGTGTTCACAGAGCAGAGTGTCAACGCCCTGGTGCAGCCTGTGTCTCTCAGATGAGCCCTGAGTCTGGACTCTGATGGCACAGAGGATGAGGGGGAGATCTGGGTCTCTGTCAGTCTCATGAAGCCAGAAGAGATGGCTGTTGGGGAGACAACTGAGGGCTCTTTAGATGTGACAAGTTTCCACGGCTCACTTTGAGTAATTAAGCTAACAGTCTTGTAATCAAGGTTGTGTGACAAACCACTTGGGGAATGTTCCACATTAATATACTTGGGCTCCACCTCCAGACAGTCTGGTGTTGTCTAAGCAGAGCCTGGACCTGTACATTTTGAAAGTAGTCCTTGGGACCAGCAGATGGTGTAACGGTTGTATTGCTGGACTCCCACATGTGGTCGATCGTGGTTCGAGTCCCGGACCTGGCAGCTTGAAACTCTTGCCAGGTACATTGTGTGTGTGTGTGAATGTGCGTGCGTCCCCCAGAGGGGAGTGGTGGTGAAGGGGTTGCGGTGTGGCCATCCCCCCGGGGGGACAGCAATTTCTTGCTTTCTGTCTCTCTGTCTCTCTGGCTGGAGCACATGTCCTATAGTAAAAATTTATCTCTAAAACAAAACAAAACAAAACAAAAACAGTCTTCATGAAATTGGAAGCACTGCTCCTACTCTGGGTGACTAGGGCTCTGTGGCATCTGTGTCTCCTGGATTCTCAAGAGCCCATTGATTTCCTGAAATCTATGATCCGAATGAGATGATTCTACCCTCATAACCTCCTGTTTAACTCTACGGAGATATTTGAGCAGAGCCTTACCCACATCTCCTACATTCTCATTTGGCATTCGCAATTGGCATTGCATGGGTAAAAGATATAATTGACTGTTTGTATTATTTTAATTTTACTTTTTTGATGTCATTTGTAGTCCCAGATTTCCGCGCTTACTTGATAGGAGGGTTCATCGCCTTGACAGTCACGACCTTGTCTGTCGTGTGTGTCTACAACCTTTTTAAGATCGACATTGTACTGTGGTATCGGAGTGCCTTCCCTTCTACTAGGAACACAGAAGGTAAGTGTGTGCAATCACCGAGAATTGCCTCCAGATTGGTGTCCGCTCATCCAGAGAACCATTTAAATCGATTTTGTCATATGTTACTAGCTTTCCTTTCATGTTGTTGGCAAATGTAGAGGAAGGAATCTCCTTGGAAGTTTCTATGCTTCAGAGAAGTAATTAGTCCAGATCATCATGAGCATCATTTGGTGAAAGGCTTGCAGGCTAGCAGTGGCCGAGTGTGTATTTACTGAATAGCGGAAGCGGATAGTTTAGGTCCCACTGTAACCATGTGAAAAGGGTCCTCACACCCGTCAGTGTTTGCCAGCGAGGAACATTTCGTGAGGCTCAGCCTGCTCTCCACCCCGGGGGCGCCCGCAGAGCCGTGGAGTCTAGAGGAGAATGTAAACTATGGAGAGCACTGGGCTGCCTGGGGTGGCGGCATTGTCTCGACCCTGAACTTGCTGCTGAAGGGACTTAAGTCTCCAACTCTCAAATGTGGAGAGAGAGCAACCCGAGTTTAAACTTGAGTTTTTCACATACTGCCTGTGTGAACTTAGAAAAATAATGAATTTTCTTCTATTTATCGGTTATAGAAAGGAAGAAAAAAAATCAAAGAAGAAAGGAGGGCAAGGGAAAAGAAGGAAGAAAAGACAGGAAGGAAGGAAAGTCACTTAATTCTGGGTCACAGAGTGCTGTGTGGATAACTGAGCAGAAGTGCTGGAAAACAGCCGAGGCCTGAGACATGGAGGTCCTCCTGCAAGTCTGAAGGTCAAAGCAAGCTGCCTGTCCATTCTGCTCTGAGGTTTAGTCTGGGGTGTTCATATCCTGCCAGTGCTATTTGACACAGAGATGTTTCCATGTGATCTTGGAACTCTGAGGGGCAGGGGCAGGTATTTCCCACCATTGTAGTTGTAACTCTTTTTTCCTTTAAGAAAGATTTTTGTTACAGGGTATGTACTCTTGCCAGATAGAGAGACAAAGAGACAGAGAGACAGGAAGCAAGAAATCACCCCCCCACCCCCAAAAGGGATGACCACACCACAATCTCTTCTCTTTTTGAGAATTTGGGCATGTGCACACACACTCCTGGCAGGAGTTTTAAGTTGCCAGGTCTGGGACTTGAACCACGGTCAACTACGTGTGAGTCTGGTGACGTAACCATTACACGATCTGCTGGTCCCCTATGGTTGTTACGCTTTACATTATTGCCTTTCCTTTCTTGGAATGGTTGTGATGCTTTACGGCCTTGAGAAAAAGTAACAAATCAGCTTTAATGTCCCCTACCTGGATAGAAAAGTTAACAGAGCCACGAGAAGTCTGTGCGGCTGACATGCTTGGAGATGCGCAGATTTATACCCTTCGAGTCCAGAGACTGGCAGTGAGGAAAGTGGGAAAGTAGGAGAAATTGGGTGTCCGAGCACGTTCGGTGAGTGTTTAATACGTGGAAGAGCATCACGTGGCCTGAGGGCTGGCCTCGCACATAACACACATGGCCCACGTTATTGTCTGCACGTTTGGGAAAATATAGACACCCTACTTTGAGCTCAATTCTAAGTCAAACTTCAGAATTCAGCAGTAGCAACTGTTGAGCGATGAACTCGGTTTGGATGACAACATTCAGCTGGGCCTTGCAGGTCCAATGAGCCCAGCACGCTGCTAGTGACACCGTTTGGGGCTGAGGCCCTCCCACAGGCTTCCCTGTCCAGGCCCATTTGTGAGTGTACTCTTGGCTTCCTCTGTCTGAGAAGACTTTCAGTCACCACCCCACGGTCAACTACGTGTGAGTCTGGTGACGTAACCATTACACGATCTGCTGGTCCCCTATGGTTGTTACGCTTTACATTATTGCCTTTCCTTTCTTGGAATGGTTGTGATGCTTTACGGCCTTGAGAAAAAGTAACAAATCAGCTTTAATGTCCCCTACCTGGATAGAAAAGTTAACAGAGCCACGAGAAGTCTGTGCGGCTGACATGCTTGGAGATGCGCAGATTTATACCCTTCGAGTCCAGAGACTGGCAGTGAGGAAAGTGGGAAAGTAGGAGAAATTGGGTGTCCGAGCACGTTCGGTGAGTGTTTAATACGTGGAAGAGCATCACGTGGCCTGAGGGCTGGCCTCGCACATAACACACATGGCCCACGTTATTGTCTGCACGTTTGGGAAAATATAGACACCCTACTTTGAGCTCAATTCTAAGTCAAACTTCAGAATTCAGCAGTAGCAACTGTTGAGCGATGAACTCGGTTTGGATGACAACATTCAGCTGGGCCTTGCAGGTCCAATGAGCCCAGCACGCTGCTAGTGACACCGTTTGGGGCTGAGGCCCTCCCACAGGCTTCCCTGTCCAGGCCCATTTGTGAGTGTACTCTTGGCTTCCTCTGTCTGAGAAGACTTTCAGTCACCACCACTTATTTTTCCTGACACAGATGTGAGTCGTTCTTCGCTTCTTGCTCTTTGACTTACAGAGGACCGTGTCAACACACGTGGTCTTCCTGGAAGCTCTGGCCATGGTGTGTCTCCCTGTTGACTCACTCCCAGGAGCGTGACTACGGCCCTGACTGGATAGAGTGTGGGTGGGTGTTGTGCAGGGTGTGTGGTAAGCTGCCTGTGAGGTTGAGTGGAGCAGGAAGAGAAAACAGGAACTGTGACTCAGCCCAAGCAGTGGGAGCTTGGCAGAGAGACTCTGGGAGCCTCCCCTCTGCTGAGATTGGGCTGCAACCCATTCTGAACCAGCGGGCTGCGGATTTGGAGACGGGAGCTGACAGCCAGGGATCCTCTTTCATTTCATTTCTCTTTTCATTCGGCAAAGTATGTGTGCACTTTGTGTTTATATCCTGTCTTATTCTTTGCGAACTGCCCTGGAATATTCCTTGAAATGTGAGCTTCAGCAATAAGTATATGAGAAGACTGAGACTGCCACAGATCCCGTGTGTAGCTTTGTTTCCCCTGAGGATATTTTCTGAGATATCTGGGAGCCTTCAGCAATGAGTAAATGAGAAGACTCTGAGACTGCCACAGATCCCGTGTGTAGCTTTGTTTCCCCTGAGGATATTTTCTGAGATATCTGGGAGCCTATCGAGTCATGAGCAGCAAACACAAATGAGACAGAGGAATTATGTCCTTCTTATGATCAGTCATTTGCTCCAACCATGTCAGTTAAGCTTTATGACACAAATGGTGATTAGGTGTGTCTGACTCAGTTTGGGCAAGAGTCACAATAAATATGGTTGAAGTCAGCAAGTTCTGTGTATTCTCTATCAACTCATAGAAAATGGCGTTTCATTCAGTGCTTTTAAAACTCTCTTGTTGGGTATGCATGTGTGTACAAAATGGGAAGGATCTGTGTCCACGTGTTCTAGAGAGATTTATATGTGTTTCACCTTATTCCGAATAGATTTGGGAGGCTGTCCCTGAGAGACAGAGTTTACAACAGAACAAAACAGGGAATGGTGACTGTAGAGAAGCAAAGATTAGATTAGTGCAGTAAGCTGGGAGCAGAGTTAGCACAAGTCCTGAACAGTTTTTAGGGTGAATTTGCCTTCACAGCTAAAGCAAAGGCAAGCGTAAGATTCATTGTGTGTTATTCACAAAAACCTTGCCATTGCTGGAGAGAGGACATGGCTTTTTCTGCAGCTAATTTCCAAGGGAGTTGGCTTGTTTCATAGAGAGTTCTCTTTGTAAAAGGAGGGGAACATTGTGACGGCATCATAAATGTCGTAGTCTAATGTTTTGTGTGGCTCTTCTTCTAGTGTCTTCTTTGCATGTTGGGGCTTATGCAATTCCGTAAAAGCATTTACACGAAAGCCCCCGTCGAGTCTGCTGACTTTCCATTGATCTGGTTTGATCAGGTCTAAAATGTAGCAACACCGTATGAGGAGAAAGTAGTGGATCATCTTTAGGCAATTGTTCATGCATACTAGTTTATACAAATGAAGTTCCGGATTTTTTGCCGGCAGCTGCTAAGGGTACATGCACACGCTTTAGCATAGACGGTGAGGTTGCATCTCCACAGAAAAGGGAAGGAGCGTGGCTAGGACCTGGATAAACCGTCATCTCCACCTTACAGAGAGAGGGGTGCTGTGCGGCCGACAGCAGGCCCCCTTTCCTCATAACACTCACTAGGAGGTCTGCCTTTCTGGAATTTTCCTGAAAAACAGCTGGGCAGTGTCCTAGCTGTTGTTACTTGTTTTTTTTCATTTCTCCTCAGAGCTGTTCTGGGCACTGGGCTAGAAAACAAAGTGCTTCAACACGTTGTGGCATAAAACGACCGTCTGTTTTGCTCTTGGCTTCGGTGGGTTGGGGACATGACAGGCTCAGTGGGGATGGCCTGTCTCAGCTCTGCAATGTCAGGGCCTCAGCTGGAGGACTGCCGGCTGACATCTCAGTGCTGGTGTCCTTACCTTCCGCCCCACCCAGGCCTCTCCACGTGGGCTCTCTGTGTGGCCTGCTTCGGGCTTCATTGCCACCTAGAGCCTGGCTTATAAGGATGAGCATTTCAAGAGCAGGAGAGCCAGGCCGATGCCTTGTTTTAGTTTATAACTCAGCCTCTGAGATTTCTAGGGTCAATCGCACCATATAGTATTTGCCAAGGCCTATGCCTACCTAATTTTATTTTTTTTTTTGGAGAGGTTTTTTTGCTACAGGGCACGTGCGCTCGCCAGACAGACAGAGAGAGACATAGAGACAGAAAGTGAGAAATCACCCCCCAGGGGGGATGGCCACGCTGTAATCCCTTCTCCTCCATTCTCCTCTCGGGATCTTGGGCACGCACGCACACGCGCCCGGCGTGAGTTTAAGTCATCGGGTCCGGGACGTGAACTGCGGTCGACTACGTGGGAGTCCAGCGACATAGCCATTAAGCTAACTGCTGGTTCCCAAGGCCTACCTAATTTTAAGGGAGTGGAAATAGATTCTGCCTCTTTGTAAAGATGTGGCCAAGTTCTGAAAAACTACCTGAGGCAGGAAGCTTTGCTGGGACTACTTTGGGGAGTGCTGGCTGTGATAGTTGTCTAGGACTAATCAGGGCTAGGCTTTGCAAGCTTCCTGCCCTGAGTCTCATCTAAGCAGCCCAGAGAGATGGAGGTGGAGGGGCTGGGTTTGGATTAAGGCATGCATTTACCAGCGGGGAGACTTGGGAAAAATCTTGCAGCCTTTGGGCTCAGCTTCCCTTTCTGTCATCCGAAGCTATCCCCACATTCCTGCCTTAGTGATCCGAAGCTTGGAAATGCTGGGGTGCTGTTGTCTCAGGGCCCTTAAACTGTCAGTGGGCTGAAGCAAAAATCTAAATGGCTACACTCCATCTTTGGTTGTATTATCAGTAAATGATGAATTAGCCATTTGAAGGTGATGAAAATCCCCTGCATTTTGAGAACAGGACAGCAAATCATAGCTCTGTTCAAAAGCTTAGTCAGAAAAAAGGAAATATAAGATGATCCAAAAATTGGAGGACGTTTTAGTTTTCAGAGCGTGGTAGAGGGGCCAACAGATGGCATAGTGGTTTTGTCCCTGAACTCCCACATGGCGATCACAGTTCGAGTCCTGGACCCTGTGACTTGAGACTCGTGCTGGGTGTATGTGCATGCATCCCCAAGATCCCAGAGGAAAATGGAGAAGGAATCACAACATGGCCATCCTCTCTTGGGGGGTGATTTTTCACTTTACCTCCCACTGTCTCTGTCTGTCTCTCTCTCTCTCTCTCCAGTGAGTGCATGCATCTTACAGCAAAAATGTCAAAAAAAAAAAAGGAGTGTTATAATTTGGACCAGCTGTTGGCTAGATCCCACCTGGCCGACTGTGTGGTCAAGTCCTGAACCCAGAACTTCAAAACGTGCTGGGCAAGTGTGTGTGCATGCCCAAAGTCCTGAAAGGAGGAAGAGATGAAGAAGGGATTGTGGGGAGACCATCCCCCCAGTTGGTTCTTTTTCTCTCTCTCTGTCTCTCTTTTTCTCTGTTTCTCAGGTGTCTACAGCAAACTAAAAAAAAATGGTGTAAGAATTTGTGCTACCTAACCCCTCTTGATCTTGAGTTTGGATAGCAACTAGTGCCTGTATCTTTTATTTATTTATTTTAATTAATTAATTAATTTTAGAGCAGTTTTTGCTATAGAGTGCATGCACTTGCCAGAGACAGAGAGAGACAGAGAGACAGAAAGTGAGAAATTAGCCTCCAGGAGGGATGGCCAAGCCGCAGTCCGTTCTCCTTCATCTTCCTCTTGGGATCTTGGGCACGCACGCACAATCCTGGTGTGAGTTTTAAGTCGCCAGGTCCAGGACTTTAAGCACCATCGTCCATGTGGGAGCCCAGCAACGTAACGCCACCTGCTGATCCCAGTGTCTGTCTCCTGACACAGCATCTTAGAAGCAGGGAACACGGAAGACTTAGCAAAAGTGACTCATCTGTTTTTTATTCAGCAGTTGGTGTAAAAGAAAGGAACTGAGAGAAGAAAGACCCCAGTAGTGGGGCCTAGGACAAAGTCATGATAAACCTGGGCATTTACTGCACTTTATAGACCGAGAAAATCTTTGTTTCCTGGGAAGCTGTTCTTTGCGGTGAACAGAGCACTGGCTTAGCCCTCCATTATCAGAAACAAAAGGAAAAGTCTATCACATTTTTAAATGGGAAACTTTAAATGGGAATTATTTCTCCAAAAGTTCAGAAATACAAGAATTTTAGAAAACGATTATTTTTCTTCTTTTTTTTTCTGTTGTATTTGTAGAAAAAAAAAATAGCCCCTGGCTTGGGAAAATCAAACGTGCAACATTGAATTTTATACATAAAAGCATCCACTTACTCGAGAGGTGGCCCAGACTGGGAACCTGGAAGTTGTCACAAGGTGTTTTAGCTGTGTTGGGATGTTACCAGCTCTAGGCACACGTCAGTCATCCCCTTGGTGCCCGCCCCCTCTGATCCTCCTGTATTAGAGCCTAAGCCTGACCTGTTCCCAACCAAGCTATCACCAGTTTGCGTCTCTGTAAAATCAAGTTCCATTCAGACATTCAGCAGATCCGACAGACCTGCTCCATGTCAGGTCCCAGTCCGGCGCTGAGGGCAGGCAGGGAACCAGATGAAGTCCTCACTCTTACGCAGCTTCCTTCATGACAGGATGTGGGGAGGCAGAGAAGTAGTACACGTGTGTGCATGTATGTGGACATGTGTGTGACTGCATAAATGTGTATGTGAGTGCAGAATTGTGCATGCACATGACCGCACACAAATGACTGCATATGTTTGTGTGCACCGTTGTATGTACACGTGCATGGATGTGACTGCGCACGTGTGCGTAGCCATGAGTGTGCATAATTGTGTGTGTGCATGTGCATTACCATTCTCCCCAGGATGGGCAAGAATGGTGAGCCAAGATCTGGGGGGCTCAGCAGAGCTGATGGAATGAGAAAAGGAGCTGTGAACTGTGAAGTTTGGTACACATTTTAATTACTGGTATTTAGGGCCAGCAGGTGCCGTGGAGATTAAGCTGCTGGATCCCACTTCACGGATCAAGTCCCTGACCTGGCTGCTTAAAAATCATGCCAAAGATTTAAAAAAAAAATAACTATTGTTATTTAGACAAAAACTAAGAATATAATCTTTACCTTCTTTGTTACTCTAAAAGCCTCCTCTTTCTCCAAGCTTGCTCATCAAACAAACCTCCGTGAAAAGGGGCCAGAAGAAGTCAGCACCCCTCTCTGGTACCCATTAGGATGGCTTTGACTTCTCAAACAACTTGTGGTTTGAAATCACATTTTCCAATGAGATACCCACAATTTCCTCTTTTTCCCCTCAAAACCTCTAGCCCTACTGAAGTTCTTACTCATTCATAGGATTCCTAAGTAAGGCATAAATATTACCCTCTCACACACTTATTTTTTAATTAACATTCTAAGCATTTCTCTCTTTGTTTTGTTTTTTGTTTTTCTTGTCAGAGGGCACATGCATACCAGACAGAAAGAGAGAGAGAGAGAGAACATCCCGATATGACCTGGTCACACTGCAATCCTTTTTCCACCCATTTCTCCATCTGAAAGGACCCTGAGTACATGCAAGTGCCTGGCCTGTTTTTCAAGCCACCGGAACCAGAATTTAAACCATGGTTGGCCTGTGGGACTGGCTCCTTCTGCACAGGCCTAACTGCGGCATGGTGGGCCAGCCCTCGTGTCCTCCTTACACTGTTCCTTTTCTTAACTGTTTATCCCCTTCTGTAGACCCTCACTTTTTCTATACCCTCCCCACTCTTTGAAACCCAGGCGCTGTCCCAGGTCTTCTGTGATTATTTTTTCAAGAACTCCAGACTCTGCAGATTTCCTTTCTGTCTCTTCTGTTCATTCAGCTATTGTCATTTTGTGGTGTCTTATATTGTTTTCTTTCTGGGTATGTGGATGGTCTGCCAGTTAGGTCTTGTGTCTTATTTAAAGGTTCTGTGGTGGTTGAATAAAATCATGCTCATTCTGTCGACAACGAGCTGCGCTGTTGTCTTTGACGTCTCCACGTGGCACAGAGGAGTCCTGGATACTGCTCAGACTGTGACCTGAGTTTGCACAATTGCAATGACATTGGTGGGGCTGAATGAGGAGAGATTTGATCTCCACTCTGCCTGGTGTGATGAGTGAGGATAATCCTCCATTGCACAGGACCCATGGCAGGAACATCAGTGGCAACTCCTGCTCTCAATTCTCACTTCCAGCCATACCTCCAGGAGTGGTAGGCTTGGAATGAAAAGACTTGGGTGGAATTAGGAACTGTGGGAGTGACGCAGGCTTTCTAGTCTCTGTCTCTTTCCAGCATAGTGGGGCATGAGTCCTCCCTCCCAGGTCCATGTGAGAACGAGATGTAGCAAGAAGTGCCTGGTGCCAAGTGGGCCAGCTGGGCTTGCTGACGTCGGGAACCCAAGCCACAGGACGTTGCGGTAGCTGCTCAGGTTGTTACTTTGTTAGCGTGGGGACATTGGGAGGAACAGTTCCGTGAGCATGTCCCATTTCCTTTGCAGATGGGAAGCTGTATGACGCTTATGTCTTGTACCCCAAACCTCAAAGAGAAAGCCAGAGCCATGACGTGGAGAAGCTGGTGTTGGAGATCCTGCCCGAGGTGCTGGAGCGGCAATGTGGCTATAAGTTATTTATATTTGGCAGGGATGAATTCCCAGGACAAGGTGGGTTTTAAAGGGAAGTATAAAAACCACAAATGAAACAACAAAAAGGAAAGTAACATTTGTCTTCCTTCACTTTACGAATGGTGGCAACGCTGCTGGCCTTCCCTGTGGTGAGAGCACAATTCCTTCTCCATTCTCTTCTGGGGGCTTTGGGCACATACACACGTGTGCCAGGTGTAACTTTCAAGCTGCTGGGTCTAGGACTTGAACCATTGTCAGCCATGTGGGAATCCAGCACCTTAATTACCACACAACCCGCTGGCCCCAAGCTCTCTTCTTTTACTAGGCTCCTGCCTGCATCACAATGTCAGGTACTGGCTGCAGTAGAGGTGGCACAGTCACTTGAACAGGGATCCACTGACAGTTAAGGCCAAAAGTTGGAAGAAGATGGTGGTCATTCACCCTCAAGCCTTTAAGACTAAGTGCTGAGTGTCTCCTATTTGAATATGTAAATAAATTCATGATTATAACTCATTTTATAAACTTTCAATCCCACTGGCTCCTTCCCTACTTAAAGAAAAGGACATTTTTTTGTTTTTGTTTTTGTTCTTTTAGAGAGATTTTTGCTATAAGGTGTGTGCACTTGCCAGAGAGACAGAAAGCAAGAAGTCATCCCCCGAAGGGGAATGACCAGACCACAATCCAGTCTCCTCTTGGGATCTTGGGCACATGTGCATATGCTCCCCGAGTGAGTTTTAAGTCGCTGAGTCTGGGACTTGAACCACGGTCAACTATGTGGAAGTCCAGCGATGTAACCATTATGCCATCTGCCGATCCCAAAAAAAGGAAAGATTTTTATTTACTTTTTGCAATAAGTAGCAGTATGGCTTTTAGCAATTCAGTGAATACCACTGGCGCTATGTTGTCCTCTCTGTGAAATGGGGATAAGAACACTTCCCTGACTCAGCTGAGAGCCTTAAAGAGGATGGAACCGGTATGGCACTCAACACCCATTACACACGCGACGCAGAAGCTTCCTCTTGTCCTCTTTGTTCTCTTCCTTTGAAAGCTATACAATCACATGGCTGAAATCTAAAATAAACTTCATTTTCTAGTCACCAAGAAATGCCGTTCACTTACATATCTAACAAATATTTATTGAGAATCTCACTGTACTGGGTACTGCTCTAGGCACTAGAAATACAAAAGTAAACCAAGCTGAAGAACCTGCCCTTGGGGAGATTACAATCTAGTCTTACAGTCTATGCAAGGCAACTGCAGACTGAATCGTATCTACAGAGCTGGATATTGAAAGAACTCTCCCCTCTCCCCCTCTGACAATTAATGGGGCATTTTGCTTGGTTTCCTATAATTCCTCGTCATTTAAATAGCTATAAGGAACAAGGGGAAAACACAAGTACAAGATTAACACATCTGAATTTACTACAACTTCACTGTTCTTTTAAATGCTATTTTTTTAAAAAGTGTTCATCATCTAATATATACCAGACCTTCAGCTAGTCTTGGGATACAAAGTTAGAGACAATGAGATTCTTGTTGGACAGGGAAAGTGACATACCACAAAAACACAAAGACCAAAGAAAACAAAATAAAAACAAAACCAAAAAAGCAGGTGATGCATGACCATAGAAGAACAATTCTTCAGGGAAGACCAAGTGATAAATACTTCCAAAACTTCGTTAATTTGCCCTAAGTTGTGTTTTGTTTTAAATCTATTTTCTCTTCTTAAGGCCATTTCTATATAATATACTTGGCAGTAGGCTGTTTTAACTATGAAATCTTCTGACTTTCCTTCCTTTATTCCAGCTGTGGCTACTGTCATCGATGACAACATTAAGCTGTGTAGGAGGCTGATCGTCATTATAGTCCCTGAATCACTGAGCTTTAGCTTATTAAAGAACATGTCTGAAGAACAAATTGCCGTCTACAATGCTCTCATCCAGGACGGGATGAAGGTTATTCTAATCGAACTGGAGAGAATTGAAGACTATACAGCCATGCCAGAGTCAATTCAGTACATCAAACAGAAGCACGGGTCCATCCAGTGGAGCGGGGACTTCACAGAGCAGTCTCAGTGTGCAAAGACCAAGTTCTGGAAAAGAGTGAGGTATCACATGCCACCCCAAGGCTGTTCAGCATCTTCAGACCAGCTGCTGAAGCACAAGTCTTGAGACTGCACGGCAGGCAGGTGGGAAGCCAAGGAGTGCCCGTCACCGACAGATGGAGACTTTGTCGTCATGTGGTGGCTCAGAGCTCAATGCAGGTACAAGGCACATGGACCGTCTGCCTCAGAAGCTTGTGGTCACATACCTGCAAGAGGGCTGTGTTGGCTGCTGTTCGTTCATCTTGATCAGAGCTACTTCTTGAGGGAAAGACTTCATCTCTCCAGAAGGCCCTTGTTAGCTCATTGGCTCCTTAACACTCAAAAACTCTTGAAGAGCATGGGGTAGCAACAGCATTAGGAATGGGACACAGGGCTGTAGAGATGGTTGAGTTGTCAGAAAGTTTAGCCCATGAGGCGGCACCCAAGGGACCTGAGAAGGGAGGCTGGATGTTCAGAAGATGAGAGGGGGCAGGTTTGCTTGAGAAGGGCTGGTGAGATAACCACACTTTGTCCATGTCTGTTCAGTGTCTGCAAGGCCCCGGCCCAGTGTCAACATTTCAGTGTCTGTGTCTCGCTTGCTCCTCCAGTGCAGATAAACAACCACGGTCACAGCTTTGCATGGTACACCTGAGAGGGCTCCCAGGCCAGAGGGACCCACTGTGCTGCGGCCACAGCTGCTCTCTGGTCACGTTCCCAGTGGGCCCCATGCATATACAGACTTTGTCAAACCAGGGTACGAATTTACTTTTCCTTTTAGACACTTATGAGGGTAGCTCAAAACATTTATGGAAAAATGAAGTATGAGTTGATTTTTTTTTTTGGAGAGGTTTTTCGCTATAGGGCACGTGCGCTCGCCAGACAGACAAAGAGAGACATAGAGACAGAAAGCGAGAAATCACCCCCCAGGGGGGATGGTCATGCCGCAATCCCTTTTCCTCCATTCTCCTCTCGGGATCTTGGGCACGCACGCACATGCGCCCGGTGTGAGTTTTAAGCCACCGGGTCTGAGACGCAAACCGCAGTCGACTTACGTGGGAGTCCAGCGACATAGCCATTACGCTAACTGCTGGTTCCCAAGTATGAATTGATTTTGATGAAAACATTCTGAAATCCAGGCATCATTTTTTTCAAAATACACATTTTTCTATGAACTTTTGAAGACATCCTCGCCCCCCCCCATCATGTGTCAACCAGAATCTTGAGCAGCACACGAGAGATGCAGTTCCCACGGAGAGATGATATCGTTCTAGTTTGTGTAAAGTAACATAAGCTTCCAGAAAGCAAGCATGCCCTCACCACATGCCAGTTTGTGAGTACGCAATTCATAAAGATTTTTAGTACTAAAAATTAACTGCATACCCTCCTCACTACTTTCTAAGACTCTGACTTGAAGAAACCAGATATAGTTCAGCCTTGGCCATCTGTAGTTGACAACCCTGGGCCTTCAGCTGTGAGACTAATACGGAGTTGGTGGGGCCAGAAGGGAGTCAATTCATGGGCAGGACAAGTGGGGCCTGGTATGGGGGGACGGGGCAGCTGGGAGGACAGTGGCCCTGGTATAGAAGGAGGGGGCGGGGAATGGGAGCAGGATCCAGAGGGCTCGTGCCTCTGCTTTATAGGCGTGGAGTGGGTGGGGCATCTGGTTGGACTGTTACATAAGGAGTTCATTTTAGTTGTTTAAGAACTTAGGCCAGGCCAGGCCCAGCACTGGTGATGAGCCCTCAGGAATAGCCTAATCCCACATGGCGTTTGGATTGGAATCTCTGATCTAGTCATCCAGAAACATGCTGGGCACAGCTGCAAGGGCTCAAGATCTAATGGGCTGGAGGCTTGGTGGGAAGGGACGGTGGTGTAACCAGATCCAGTGGAAGGTGCCATCTCTCTCTCTCTCTCTCTCTCTCTCTCTCTCAGGCACACACACATGCTCTATTCATGAGTAAAGGGGCCAGGTGGTGCCACAGCAGTGATAGAACTGGATCCACATGGGAAAAGTCTTGGTCTTCTTCCCGGGAACTCCCTGAGTACACTGGGCCCATGGTCTGGGTTGGCTAAGATGGGTGAACCATAGCGTAGGTACACTGTTGAAGGTACCTCTCTCTTTCTCTCATGGAAGAAAGAAATACACTTTTAAAAAAATTTCGTGACCCAAGGTGACCTAGATTTATACATGGTTTATCATCATACTGAAGCACTGACTCAACATTGAGCTGCTCTTTATTTTATTTACTATTTAATCTTAAACATTTGAATTATGGTAAAATACATGGACATAAAATTTACCATGTTAACCACTTTTGATTTCAGTTAATTTGATGGCATTAAGCTCATTCTTCTTCTTGTGCAAACAACACCCCAGTCCAGCTGTAGTATCTTTCATCCTCCCAGCTTAAACTCTCCCTGCTAAACAGCGGCTCCCTCCTCAGCCCTGGTGACCTCAGTTCCACTTTCCGTCTTACTCTAGGGGCCTCAGGCTGATGGACACGCACAGTGTTTGTCCCACTCTGTTTTATTTCACTTAGCAACATCTCAAGGTTCATCCATAATACTTGCTTTTTGTTTCATTATTCTTACCCCATCCTTCCCTCCCTTCTTTTTCCCTTTATTAAGTAATTTATTTATTTTCCCCCTTGAAGGAGCAGTGAGAGGAGAGCAGATATTTTATTTCTGGACAGCTCTCCTTCCCACAAGTGATAAGCTCATTAATGATCTAATCAGATATTTGTCGGTTCTTTGCCTCTCGGTGGATCTCTCCAATGTGGTAGTTATAATTCCTCATGGGAGATTTGCGAGACTAAGTAAAATAAACCTCTCTTGTCTCACTCAAGAGAAGAATGACCATCACTGACCTGTCCCACATTCTGGCCCCCCATTCCCCTCTGGTCTAATTGTCTCTGGCTTAGTCTACAGAGACTGCCCCTGCTTCTGGAGAGGGCTGAGTGATTGTCAGCTGGTCATAGCACCTTGTCTTCCTCATGTGGAGCCCATGCGACAGTAACTGGCTCAGGAGAACTGGCATCCCAGGAAGCCACCTCAAAGCAGGTGGCACCATCTCGTGCCATTTGGTTGATGGTTGGGCAGTAAAATCTGAGCTGCGATGGGCCTGTGGTAACCCGCTGGCTGTTTGGTTAGGATGTGGGAATACACCACCCCACTGTCATTTGGAAATATGAAGTATGAGTTTATTCTGATGAAAACATTCTGAAATCCATGCTTCCCCCCACCCACCATGTGTCAACAAGAATCTTCAGGAACACATGAAAGATGCAGTATGAGTTTATCCTACAGCGATAAGTCCTGCCCTTTCTGTTTGTTCTTCTTCTTCTTCTTCTTCTTCTTCTTCTTTTTTTTTTTTTTTAATTTTTGCTATTGGGCGCATGCACTCACTAAAAAGAGAGAGATTTAGAGACAAGGCTAGTAAGAAATTAGCCCCTGAGGGAATGGCCATGTCACAGTCCCTTCTCCATTTTATTTTCAGGATTTTGGACACATACACATATGTGCCTGGCATGTCTATCAAGCCACTGGGTCTAGTACTTGAACTGTTTAGTTGACCATGTGAGAGCCATCACTTTCACCACCACACCAACTGCTAACCCAAATTCTTTTTCTTTCTCTTTCTTTCTTTCTTCCTTCCTTCCTTCCTTCCTTCCTTCCTTCCTTTCTTTCTTTCTTTCTTTCTTTCTTTCTTTCTTTCTTTCTTTCTTTCTTTCTTTCTTTCTCTCTCTTTCTTTCTTTCTTTCTTTCTTTCCTTTTTTTTTTTTTAGAGGTTTTGCTATAGGGTGCTTGCGCTCGCCAGACAGACAGAGACAGCCAGAAATCACCCCCCGGGGGGAAGGCCACACCACAATCCCTTCTCCTCCACTCTCCTCTTGGGATCTTGGGCACGCACACACACGCGCCTGGCATGAGTTTTAAGCCACCGAGTCTGGGACATGAACCATGGTTGACTACATGGGAGTCCAGTGACATAGCCATTATGCTAACTGCTGGTCCCCTGCTAACCCAAATTCTGCTTCTTTTTTGGGGGCAAATAATTATTTTATTTTATTTTATTTTATTTACTATTACTATCCTTCAATTTGACCAGAGAAGGACACAGAGAAGAGAGCCAAACCCAGCCCTATTTTAAATTATTTTAAATTTCATTTATTCATTTATTTATTTTAATTTGACCAGAGAGAGAGAGAGAGAAAGTGAGAAAACAAGCCACCATGCCCGGGACTTGAAACATGTTTGTCCCTGTGGGAATGTCCAGCATTTTAATCACCATGCCACCTGCCGGCCACCTTTTTAATAATGGCTTCCCTTTGATAATTTGGTGGAAGCCATGGGTATCTCCCTAGAAAAAATGTGCAGATTCGGGATCTTCAACGAACATACAGCAATGCTTATTAGGAAAGAAATATTACATGGATTTCATTTTTTTTGCACCAACACAAATTCATACTTTAATCTCACTTTCCACAAACTTTTTGAAGTCCATTTGTACATAAAACTTTGGCTATAAGTTCAGAGGGTTGATGGACTTTTTCGAGCTCATCAGTGGATTTACAGCAGGGATTTTTGTTTCTGTTTTTATAAGATGTGATCTCAGAATTTCACAGGTCTGGAGATCATCAAGTTGGGTAAGCGAGCCATTGGGGGTCCTTTCAAAACTGAACTGGGAAGTTACACAGACTGCGGGTGTTAGCAGCATTTGCACAGTTGCCCCGCTAGAGCGTCCCAGCAAGGACGGGGAGTGAGCCGTAGGTCCCTGAGATCGATCTTCACGGTGTGTCCAGACCCTCGACCTTATCCGTTACCCCCGTGTGCTTTGATCGTCTCTGTGCCATGACATGCAGATGGCTGGGAAACCCGCACCCCAGTCCAGCTGTCCTGCCCATCATGGAGAAGCAGGCGAGGCCGGTGGTGTGGTGAAACTAGACACTGAATGGTGATTTGTGGCAGAACCAGAACAGATGCCCCAGTCCTCAGACTGTGCTACAGATCTCACCCTCCCAGTCCTGTGACTCCAACCTGTGGTTAGATCTAAATGGATAACTTTGTAAAAATCCGGAGACTGATTCCTGGAAGTACACAATGAAGGCTTCGGAGTACTTCTTTGGTTACTCTGGGCTTTAGGAGGAGCTTACAAAATCGTGTCTTGTGTTTTTGCTCAGCTGTGAACAAACTGAGAACACAGAGTCAGAAGAGATTTTTTTTAAGGTTTATTTCTTTCATGAAAGAAAGACACAGAGACATCTTTAGCACGGTCATTACGCTATGACCCACTCCCAGTCCCCAGCCAGCCTGGCAGTTTCAGGGAGGCCCTGGGGCATGAACCTGGCACCTGTCCATTGGGTCCAGTTGCAGTACGATTGCACTACCACCTGGTGTCAAGAGGACTTAATGTTCAAGACTGAGAATGTCTTGGATGTGTTTCATGTGCATTAAAAAGATGCTTCCGAATTCTGGGGGCTTTAAGATGAGAGAGTCAATGAGTGAGGCTACGCCTCAATAACTCAAACTCCTCGGATCCCCAGGGCAAATTTGTCAGAGACACACCTCTAGCATCAAGCCATGGGTTAATGAAT